CCGCACCCCCCCCCCCCCCCCCATTAGTGTGCGTACAGCAGCCGTGTGCTGGGGAGGGGGCCGAGAGTGGCAGGGCTCGGGGCTGGGGCAGAAGTCTGAGGAGGAGTCTGGGGCCAGGGGAGAGGTGCCAGGTTCCGGCTGTCCCTGGGCTACTGCAACCACCAACCCTGTCTTAGCTCTCCCTCCCTCCCTCCCTTCTCCGCCTTTCCCTCACAACCTCCTAGGAAACTCCCACAGACCTAATACAGTAATAAGGCTGCCAGTTTCATTGTGTAGATATTGCTCCTCCTCATCTGGTGGAGCATTATGTTGATAGTGTTTTTGGCAGGGTAAAGGTGACACAATACAGGAGGTGGGGTTCCCTTACTTTATTTCCATGCTTTTAAGGTGTTCAGATGGGTGGAGTATGTCGAAAGGCAGCCTTAGCTGTCACTAAACTAAGATTTTTGTTTAACCAGGATATAGCTTTAGGACTAGTGACCTATTTAGCTCTTTGCTTAAAGAGTTAATTCACTGAACACCAGCTTCCTGGAAAACTTTTCTCCCTGGCTTATTTTAATAAAATAAAACAAAGATCAAACCATTGAGGGATGAAAGAGAGAAAGCAGCATTCTTGATTTTTACAGAACTATAGGTCCTGTTTGGATCTTTGTTTGGATCAGTACTTTTAGTAGTGATCAGGTATGTCCAAAAGGATAACTGGTATAATAATGTTGGTTTTTTTTTTTTTAATTCTCACATTACTACTTTTATTGCTATGCCCAGAGCCAAACTGTGATTAAAACCTATTTGTTAGCTTCTCGGCTTTTGCAAACAGCCATTCTTTTAAGTTGACTTCTGTCATTCTTACAAAACCAGATATTACACTTGATCTTAGCCTGCAAGAGGCATTAAAATAAAAACATTACTTTTTTCATGTATGTATTTTAAGTTGATCCTGAAACAAGTATTCATCCATTGGGAATCTTTCAGATTAGCTTTGTCGTTTTTTGAAACTTCAGGCTTGCCTGTTGAGGTCAAATTCCTTTTACCCGTCTTTGGTTTAGAAGTGACGTCTGTAAAGCTCAATACCTGATATTTATTGCCTATATCAAAATAAATTGTTTCCTCATTTATAATGGAATGCATGTATCCGGAATTTTGTACACACACAATGAGTGTGCATAGCGCATGACTCTCTGTATGCATTTGAGACTATTCAAGTGTGTGATTTGAGTAAACTAAATTAGAAACTTGTCTCAATTTGTATTCCTTTTCCAAGATGCATGTTTCCGTGATTTGCCAGTCCTCTTAGCTCAGGGGTGGGCAATAATATTTGACTGGGGGCCACTTCAGAAATGTTTGAAGTGGCGAGGCCGGGAGACTCCTGTGCTTCCTCACCTACAAATCCTGATTGATCTGGGGATGGAGGAGCACGCAAAGTCTTTGACCCCTCAGAGAGAACTCCTAGCTGTTCTGAACAGATGGCCAGTCCCTCTAGGCACCCATGCCCCTGGCAGTGGGAGGAGACTTCATGTGGTGCCCCCAGGTCAATCAGGGCCTGTGGAGGGGGAGCATATGAAGTCTCTCATGCCCTGCCCTGCAAGGGAGCTCTGCACTTAAGAGTCAGCAATCAGCTGAGCAGCAGCTGGTGGTTAACTTTAAGTGTGGAGCCCCTTGCAGGGCAGAAGGAGACTTCCCCGGGCTTTCCCCTGACCACAGGCCCTAATTGGCCTGGGAGTGAGGGATGTGGCAGGGCCTCCGCAGGCCAGATTAACTTGTTTGGCAGGCTGTATCCCGCCCACAGAGGCCCTTTTGCCCACCCCTGTCTTAGCTGGTACTATAGGCTCTGGTAACCTGCAATAATATTACTATTGATTTGATTGTTTAAGAAACCTCCCCTGTTATCATCTTAATCAGAAAGGTACAAATAGTGGAAAAATTACATTTTTTTTTTTTTAGGCAAGGGTCAGACTGTGGCATGCTGAATAATTGTTTAACTTTACAATTGTATTAATGGAATTTAAATCCCAAATCTTAACTCTACTTGTCTTGTTGAGCAATGTTCCAGTTGCTCAAATGTGCAACGCTGTTTGTGTCCTGAGCTAGAAGGACCAGAAAGGTCAGTGGAAAAAGTATTTGCAGAGAAAATAGAGCCTTGCTATTAAGGTTAGTTAAGTGTTTTTCTCCTGAATCTTACTACCATTCCCCCCTTGTTTGCATATGAGTTGGGAGAATTCCAGGGTTAATACTGTAGTGAAAAGCTCACTGACCAACACCACTGCTGAGATGGCTGAGGATACTGGGATTTCTGTCCCTAGGTTCTGTTTCATAGAGTTCAGTGCCAGAAGGGACCATTGTGATCATCTAGTCTGTGGCCTGTGCTATATGGGGGCGAGAAATTCCTCAAAATAATTCATAGAGCATGTGCTTTAGAAAATAAGTTTGAGGCTCTCTGGATAGTTGATTGTAGAGATGTCTTGGTCTCCAGGTTCTGTAAGCTTGGAACCTTCTTTTCCATCAAGTGTTTGGTGCTCTACTTTTTCCTTCCATCTCCTTTTTGGTGAGGTCAACTCATCTCTTCCTTAAGACAATTCCAGTATCTGCCTCCTCTGCTTGGGAGAACTGCAGCAGTAGCAAAAAGATTTAGATGATTTCACTTCTACCTACAAAGTTCTGAATAGCAACTGCAAAGCTCACGAGTCTTAACTTTGAGCTGCTGCTGCTTGGGAAAGCAATATACATCTATCTGCTTTCAAGATTAAACTAGATGGGTTTATGAAGGGGATGGTTTGATGAGATAACATGATCTTGGTAGCTAATTGACCATTCATTATCAGTGGGAAATAGGTCAATGGAGGGATGATAGGAGTTACTATAGAGAACTTTCTGGGTGTCTGGCTGGTGAGTCTTGCCCACATGCTCAGGGTTTAGCTGATCGCCATATTTGGGGTCGGAAAGGAATTTTCCTCCAGGGTAGATTGGCAGAGGCCCTGGAGGTTTTTCGCCTTCCTCTGTAGCATGGGGCACAGATCACAGCTGGAGGATTTTCTGCATCTGGGGCCTTCAAAGTATTTGAAGGCTTCAATATCTGAGATATAGGGGAGAGGATTATTCTAGGGGGGGTGGGTGAGATTCTGTGGCCTGTACTGTGCAGGGGGTCAGACTAGATGATCATAATGGTTCCTCATAGACTTTAAGGTCAGAAGGGACATCAGCCTTGAACAGTAGAGCAGTCTATAGATGAACAAAGACAGCGGTACGTTTGTTTGGAGGGCTAGATGTTGAAATGAAAGCTTACATTCTGAAGAAAGTAGTGGCTTAGAATCCATGTTTGAGACTTCCTGATGCTAGAAGACTTCTTTAATCTGTTAGTGCCCAGAGGTCCCAAATGAGATCCAAGCTCTTGGTGTATGTATGTACATAGCAGGCAAGACATGAATTGAATAGTTTGCAGTCTAAATAAGCATGGATGGAAATGGTGGCAAAAGGAAATATTATGCCCATTTTACTGATGGAAAACTTGGGCATGAAGTTAAGTGGGTTGACAAGGTCACACAAGAAATCTGTGGCAGAGTGGAGTGTTGACCCTCCCCACACATCTAAGTCATGATTGGTTCCTTAACCACACAGCCATGCTTACTCTTCCTCTATTTTTGCCTTTGGCATTGTACATGAAATTCCTTGTTCAGTTTAATTATAGATACTTGTAAGAAGGTTAAGGGTGCAAAGACGAGCATACAAAAGCTAGGAAATGCCAGGATAGGGTTGTCCGTGTAATCTTTCTTTGGTCCCCTTATGTATATGCATTGATAATCTTTGATTATATATGTACTTCCCCTTTCCCACACAGCGTCCCTACCCTTTTCACTAGTTGGGTAGTTATTCAGTATTTCGTCTTATCTTCCTGATTCAGTATATTATGAGTGTGACTTAATTAACACCAATGAACATGGCATTAATGATATCACAGACGAAATAGATCTTGTCAAAGTAACTTGTTTTTTTTTTTAAAAAAAAAGACAAGCTTGGTTGTTTTTGTATTATAGTATGTAGGAGCCCTAGTCAGAAGTGGGTCTGGCCCACGAAAGCTCATCACCTAATAAACCATCTTGTTAGTCTTTAAAGTGCTACGAGACTGCTTTTGTTTGTTTGTTTTCCCATTGCGATAGGCATCGTATAAACACATGTAATAGATTTCGGTAAGGTATTGGACTCGGTGCCTTGTGAACTTTTGATTGGGAAACTAGACCTAGAACTATATAAAATGGACATGGTACATGTTAAATAGCTAATAGGTTAGGATTGGTTCTCAGCCCTATGGAAGTAAAACCGTGACTCCTAAAGTTTGAAGATGACCCAAAGATTGAGACCATTAAATAATGGAGAGGTGATTGAAACAGAACAATATAGATCACTTAGTCAGCTGGGAGTAAGCAAATAATGTTTCATTGTGACCAGATGTTCAGACCACACATCTTGGAGCAAAGAGTGCTTAAGGATGAGGAATTCTATCTTGTGAAGTTCTTATTATGGAGACACGCAAAGGAGCTGAATTGTGTAACCTTAATTTTAGCATTTCCTAATTTGAGTGCTTGATTGCAGCTTTTATATTTTTCTAATGTGAATCTTATGTGACTTCCTATATTTATTTTTTTTTTAAATTTGGGTCCACACGATACCATTTAAATACATGCACTGATCCTCCAATTGGATGAGGATTGGGATTTGGACTTTTATATCCAGCACAGTCCTCTACCACTTGAGTTAGTGGAGTAATGGCAATGGTTGTAAATAAACCATTATCTTTGGTGATAGATAGCAGAGGAATGCAGACACAAAAAACTCTTGGGTTAAATTCCAGGTTTGGTAAGGTAGTGTTACATAGTGGTTGTAGATCCTTCTGTCTATTCCCAGTCTCCCATCTGCCCCTTTGTCTCTTCTGTCCAATCCACCTGGTTCTTATTTCCACATCTCCTGACTTTCTTCCTGTCCTCTGACTCAGGCAACACCTCTACTTATTCCTCACCTCTCTGCATTTTGGATGGCAGCTTCCTCCACCTTGCTTCCTGGGTGCCAGCATTGAGGCCATTGAGAACCCAGGCAAAACAGGTTCCCTAATCTCAGATTTGTTTGAGTATACTCAGTAAAGGTGGGATCCTCAGAGAATTGAACTGCCACATTTAGTCTTTGTCCATGTGCTGACCGAGATTTTGTAGAGCATGGCCATGCTTGGGTGAATTTTTACTGGCACTGCAAGAAGCACATCTCTAACCTTCTCGCTCTGTTTTCCCCAACAATGTCACACCCTTTCTTCTAAGTATATGGAGGCGCTAAAGCTTTTCAGTGAAATGGTTGCAATAACTTCCTTAGTATTGGGAAACAACATATTTTCTCCTAATCTCGTTCTCAAACTGCTGACCTGTTTCGGCAAACGCTTTCCAACAAAATTTAGCCCAAGGGAGACACTTGGCATGGAAATCTCCATCTGAAAGATCAAAATGTTGTGAAGTTCTAAGCAACCAAAAGTGGGGGTTTTATAATGTAAGGTATTAGACACTTTAACTATAGTTTGCGTTAATTACTCCAATATGCACAATACTTAGCTGGGAGCTACATTAGAGTAAATCCTGAAAAAGTAAGGGAGTCTAGCAGAAGCTGCAGTTATCCTATGCTCCTTCACAACATTGCCAACATAAATAATACAGTAATGTGGTGGTAAGTAAAAGATCAGTTATTGATAGTTTGCTTCTGAACCACTTGTCTTCAAATTGTATACCTTGGCTCACTGTGATATAAATATAACTTCGGCCATTTTTGTCTTACATCATTTTCCTCTTTTATTTTGTAGGATCATGGATTTTCCAGGACACTTTGAGCAAATCTTTCAACAGCTAAACTACCAGCGTCTTCATGGTCAACTTTGTGACTGTGTCATTGTGGTGGGGAACAGGCACTTCAAAGCCCATCGCTCTGTTTTGGCAGCATGCAGCACACATTTTCGAGCTCTGTTTACTGTAGCAGAGGGAGACCAAACCATGAACATGATCCAGCTGGACAGTGAGGTAGTGACAGCAGAGGCCTTTGCTGCTCTGATTGACATGATGTACACCTCCACACTCATGCTTGGAGAGAGCAATGTTATGGATGTCTTGCTGGCAGCTTCTCACTTACATTTGAACTCTGTTGTTAAAGCTTGTAAGCACTACCTTACGACGAGGACTCTGCCGATGTCACCACCTAGCGACAGAGTTCAAGAACAAAATGCACGCATGCAAAGATCTTTCATGCTTCAGCAGCTTGGACTGAGTATTGTGAGCTCTGCATTGAATTCCACCCAGAACACAGAGGAGCAGCAAAATACGATGAGCTCATCCATGAGAAGTAACATAGAGCAGCGCACGACTTTTCCCATGCGGCGCCTCCACAAGCGTAAACAGTCTTCTGAAGACCGGGCCAGGCAGCGAATCAGGCCTGCCATCGACGAGTCCATCATTTCAGATGTTGCCCCAGAGAGCGGCCAGTCAGTAGTCCATTCCCGGGAAGAATTTTTTTCACCAGATTCTCTGAAGATTGTGGACAATTCCAAAGCTGATGTTGTTGCTGATACCCAAGAGGATAATACCATTATGTTTGATCAGTCTTTTGGTGCCCAAGAAGATGCCCAAGTGCCCAGCCAGTCTGACAACAGTGGAGGAAACATTTCACAAATGTCCATGGCATCTCAAGCAACACAAGTGGAGACGAGCTTTGACCAGGAAGCGGTGTCTGAGAAAAATAACTTTCAGTGTGAAAACGCAGAGATCAGCCTCAATGAAAAAGAACACATGCGGGTGGTGGTTAAATCTGAGCCCTTGAGTTCCCCAGAGCCTCAAGATGAAGTGAGCGATGTCACTTCCCAAGCAGAAGGCAGCGAGTCTGTTGAAGTAGAAGGAGGAGTAGTGAGTGCAGAAAAGATAGAACTGAGTCCTGAAAGTAGCGATCGCAGCTTTTCTGACCCCCAATCTAGTACCGATAGGGTTGGTGACATCCATATTTTGGAGGTGTCAAATAACCTGGAACACAAGTCTACTTTCAGTATCTCAAATTTCCTAAATAAGAGCCGAGGTGGCAATTTTGGTGCTAATCAAAATGACGACAACATTCCAAACACAACCAGTGATTGCCGAATGGATGGAGATGCCTCTTATTTAATGAGCCCCGAGTCTGGGCCTAATAACGGTCATTCCTCTGCTACTATCTCTCATGTGGAGAATCCATTCAATGAACCTGCAGACTCTCACTTTGTCAGGCCTATGCAGGATGTAATGGGGATTCCTTGTGTACAGACTTCTGGGTACCGGGCAGCGGAACAGTTTGGGATGGACTTTCCAAGGTCCGGCTTGGGACTACACTCTTTGTCTAGGGCAATGATGGGCTCTCCAAGGGGCGGAGCTAGTAGTTTTCCTGGCTACCGTCGCATAGCCCCCAAAATGCCTGTTGTGACCTCTGTTAGGAGCTCCCAAATGCAAGATAGTCCATCTAATTCCCAGCTGATAATGAATGGGAGCACGTCCTCTTTTGAAAATGGACATCCTTCCCAGCCTGGGCCACCGCAGTTGACTAGGGCATCTGCTGATGTTCTTTCAAAATGTAAGAAGGCCTTATCTGAGCACAATGTCTTGGTTGTAGAAGGTGCTCGCAAATATGCCTGTAAAATCTGCTGCAAGACTTTCTTGACCTTAACAGACTGTAAGAAGCACATCCGTGTGCACACAGGAGAAAAGCCTTATGCCTGTTTAAAGTGTGGCAAACGGTTTAGCCAGTCCAGCCATTTGTATAAACATTCCAAAACTACCTGTCTGCGGTGGCAGAGCAGCAACCTACCCAGCACTTTGCTTTAATCCTCCCCCCCAAGCCCATATAAATCATGCCAATACAAATTGTAAGAACATGGACTAGCTTGTGTCTGGAATATTAACACTATCGCAGGATAAGAAGCTGCCCTTGTAGTAAACACTTACGTGTGATTGTGCCACACATACAGAAAGTCTTGGTCCTGTAAAATGGGGATCATACCATACCTACCTCACAGGGGTGTTGTGAGGCCTAAACAACTGCCTGGAAGCGCTTTGGGATTCTCTGAAGGAGGCACTGTAGAAGTATTAAATATTATGTAAATGCAGGTCTTGGGCTCATAGGGGCTACAGTCCCTAAAACCAAGTAGCTCCTTTGGGGGGGGGGAGGAGCGGGAGGGGAGGAAGAGCTGGGACAGAAAGGGTGAAAATGTAGCCAGCTCCTAATCATGTTACAGTAGCATGTTTCAAGGATGAGAAACAAGTACAAACTTTTTTTTAGGCATTTTTGTAAAATTGTGAAAGTGTTTAAATAACTTGTAAAGTAAGTTGATCCATGATGTGTGTGAACAGAAATGCAAAGAGCTCTCTACTGTTACTAATGCAGATTGCATATCCTTAAAGAACAATAATCTTGGATGTACCCGTCTACCCAAAATGCTTTAAAACGTTAATTATGAAATTAGTTGTAGAGCGGCGATGGGCATCCTAGGCCAGTGAGTGGGCCTCGAGTAGCCCGCCATCATCTCAGTGGGCTCCAAGGTTGTCCTGACCAAGAGGGTCTCCCGGCAGAGAGCAGCTTGTCCACCTAGAATGAGCAGGGTGTGCCGATTGAACTGTAGCAGCACTTCGGATGCGGAGGGAGCACCCGGCTCTCAGTAACTCTGTGCAGTCAGCACTCACCTCGCTTCACGTGCCCATGCGTGCCACTTTAGTAATAGCAGTAGAAAAAACCTATACGGTCAGAAACCAGCAGAATCTGGCAATGCCATGCTCGGGCAATGGTAAAGAAAGGCCACACACGGAGCCCTAGTAGGCTGCACGCAGCCCTGGGGGAGCACCCTGCGGCCCATTGTTGTAGAAGGTTCTGAATGTATTTTTGGCTGTTTTCCTGTGATGGACACTGTAACAAAGGTGCTTACCTGGAGTCCAAGACAAGTAACGTTTGGACTGTTAGATATGTGTGTGTATATAGTTTGAATACAGCGAGCTCTCCTAGGTGTTCCACCATTTTTTCTGTAAAGACTTGTAATGAGTGGTAAGTGACGTACTGGTCCTGTATGTGCTATCTTAGCAGTATTTTAACCAACTTGTATTTCATATGTTAAAATTCCATATACATAGATGTCTGAAAAGAGCTTGTTATTGTCTACTTTATTTTAAATGGGAGATATAATTTGTGGTGGCTTCTCTTATTGTGTAAGATAGTCTCTTACCCTTTCCAGATGCTGACAGTCAATCTGATCCAAGTTATTGTGTAAGCAGACTATCCTTTTCTGATGCTCTTATCTTCAGGCATTTTAATTTCCTTCTCCATACACTTATTGTCCTCTCAACCATGGATTACTTTGATCTGAGGAAGAGTGAGGAATGAGAGAGCCTGTCTTGCCATATTCATATGCCTCTCGGTATAAAATGTTGCAGTTGACTCTAATTTTTCAATTTAGAGAAGTATATGTGTATTTTCCCACAAGTAAAAATCCAACACAAATTTAATTTAAAAAAAAGCACTGTACACCTTGTAAAAACAAGTTCAGTAATCTGTTTCCAGTGAATCACAGAATCTTATTTTAATTTCCTCCTCTTTGATATCATTGTAACAAATACTCTTTGCAGTTGAGGGTGTTGATTTTTTTTTCTTTAATGTATACGAACTAACTCTTGGAGTTCAGCAAACTAGGTTTCTATTAACATTTTGGAGCACTTCTCCTGACCATTGTTATTCTGTTTTGCAGAATTTTGGTCAGTGTATCTGTCATAATCAGAAGAGAGATCATGAGCATCTAATATTGCTGCTGCTGTGGATTAGCTAACTTTACAACTTCCACATTGTCAGTGTATGTAGCCAACGCATTCTGTGTACTTTTACTGTTGGAGTTGAATCAAATGTATGCTGTTTTTTAACACAGATGTTGAACTCCTGAAAAAACTTGGATTTATCTGAATGAAAGCTGAAAATTAAACCCTTATTCCTCAGTTCTGTAGCTAGTCTAGTATTTAGTGACTGAGACAGTTGGAGAGTGGGAACTAACAATCATGGTCAATACCAAAGGAGCCAGGGCGCTATGTATGAAACAGTATCTGCCTGAGAGAGAGAAAATGCCTGTGGTCTGTTAACATTTGATTTGCAGTTTAAGCTCCTAAGGTAAGCAGAAACATGAACTGTTATGAATGACATTCAGTTCATTAAAACCCTCATAGTCCCTTGACTGTTGGGTTTTTTTTAAAGGCACCAAGGCCATGTGCCAAGTTTATGAAGAGCATTAGAAAATGTTGCATTTTATGATAATCATCTTGACGTAAAGAGACTAATAGCATTGAACTAATCAGTCTCACTGCAGCTTCATTAAAACTGGATCACCAATACAATACACTATTTTCTAATTTAATCTTGTGTTGCTGTGCTGCCTTTGTGCTAATCTCTCACCTTTCCAGTTTTGTTCCAAAACTATTTTTTTATTTTCCAGCTGTTTATCTAGCCTCTGTCTCTAAAACCCTCCCATGCACAGGAAGAAAGCGAAGATGTGGAGGGGATGATGAATGCACTTAATTTTAAGAATGAATAGGAACATGTAAATGAACCCTATATTGAATTGTACTTCTGGATCCGTTTTTACAACAAGGCCATAGGTAATAAGGGAGGGCTGCTCTCTTCAGAAACAACAATAAAGGAAGAAAAAAAATAGATGTGACAAACAATTTTCAGTTTATCAAATTGTAGTGTATAGCAGGATCTATGTTATCTTCAGTAACCCATGTCTGCTTTCTTGGTCTTCCTATATGAAGCAATATCTCAGAATAACAATTACTACTGAGCTAACCCACCCTGTACAATGAGCAATAGCTAATCACCAAACCTCATAACTGCAAAAATAGCCTCACCCCACCTCTGTTCAGACTTACTAGCCAAGCACTATCGTGCCATCTCATGTGAAGCTATCAGTATGTTTAGAGTTGAGATGCATCTGAAAATAAACACAACATTTTTGTGCTGATGTGCCTGATTTGATTTAATTAATCCTGACTGGCATGCTGGGAGTTTGTGGAGAATCGACATGTACCAGCCTGGGTGTCTCCCGGCCCCACTGGTGCTGAGCAAGCAAACCAAGTTTGACCTGGCCAGACCCCTACCCCCTGCCCGCTCCTGCACCCTCCCCTCCCAGGCCGGACACCTATCCCCGAGCCTGCTCTCCTCCTCCCTACCCCTGGCCGGACACCTACTCCCAGCCACTCCTACAGCCTCCCCTGTGGCCAGACAATTACCCCCTGCAGCAGGCAGGGGTCTTGCTGGGTGAGGATGAAGGAGCGGTCAGGGAGTAGATGTCTAGCCGGAGGGGGGGGTGGAGGGGTGCTGCTCTGTCCCCCCCCCACCCCCCCAATCCGGGGTGTTCTCTCGCAGTAGCACAGTGCACAGACTGCCCCCAATCACCACAAGGCAGCGTGTTACACCAGCCTGCTTTAATCAGTTCTACATGCTGCGAGGCACCAGCAGCAGCTTTGCCACAGGCTGCGTCGTCCTGCTGCTCTGGGCGCTGCGGCTGCTCCAAGGCCGGGCCCTGCCGAGCCAGCGCTGTCCCGGGCTCTCGTCACAGCTGGAGCTCACTGGGCAGGCGTTCCCCCCTCAGGCCAGCCAGGAGGTTGTGCGCGGCCTGCACGGCCATGGCGCTCCGGGTGGCAAAGGTGGCGCTTCCAATGTGAGGCAGAATCACTGGCCGGGGAGAGAAGACGGATGTCAGAGCGTGCCTCGAACCCACGCACAGGGCTCCCCCTCTGCCTGGCTGGGAGCACCCCACACAGGAACCAGTGCTTTCCCCTGCCCTGCCTGGGACTGTTAGCCCCTCGCCTCAACCCCGTGCCGGGCCCGGAGCACGCCGCGCTCCCCCACCCTGAACCCCCTCGACACGAGCCCCCTGCGCTCGCCTCTGCAAGGCCGGGCAGGGAGAGAGGGGAGCACGGGGTGGGGGGGCAGGGGCAGAGATGGCGGCTCACCGCAGTTCTTCAGGGACAGCAGCGGGTGGTCTGTAGGCAGCGGCTCCGGGCTTGTGACATCCAGACCAGCCGCGGCAATCTGGCCACTCACCAACGCCTGGTGCAGGTCTTCCTGGTTCACCACGGCTCCCCTAGGACGCAGTGAAGGGCTGGAGGAACTGGGTGCTGCTCCGCGCAAGCCAGACACGCGGGGGCGCAGACACTGCCCCCGCGCCACCTGCCCCACTCGCGTGCTCTCTGGAGCAGCTCACCCCGCAGGGCCCCAGGCTGGGCAGGCCACGCCAGAGGCCACGCCACATACGGGGGCGCTCTGCCACGTGCCATCGCAGCACTCCCTGCGCCCAGCTACCAGCCGGCGCAGCTCGGCCCGCTGCAGCCCAACCCCCAGAGACTGAGTTGTGGTAAGCATGGGTCTGACCTGGCCAATCCCCGGGGGCCCGTCAGTGATGGGGCCACCCCATTCCCAGCCCAGAGAACGGCCCCTGGAGGCGCCCGCCACACAGCGAAAGCCCTCCCCCCCGTGGGAACAGCCCCAGCCGCTGCCTAAGGGAGGGCCCAAGATGGCGCCCATGGGGCTTTGCAAGCGCCAATGATCCCAGCAGTATCTCGCGTACCCGTTTCCCCTCACCAGCCAGTCCGGCTACAGCGGGCGGGGCAGGGCTCTCACCGGCTCGTGTTGATAAACACGGACGTCTTCTTCATGCGGCCGAAGAAGTCCTTGTTGCACATTCCTTCAGTGCCCGGAGTTAAGGAACAGGTGACCACAACGAAGTCCGACTCCTCCGCCAGCTTGGCCAGTGGGACTGAGGGAAAAACCCAAAGCCCAAACACACATCATGCCTTTCCTTGGCCGGCCTAGTTTGTGTTCACTAGTTGGGGAACTATCCCATGGCTATTAAACAGCCGTTAGTCAGTGCCTAGTGCTTCTGGGAGACCTTGCTAGCCCCCCACCCCACGACCGGGACAGACCACAGGGACTAAACCAAAAACCAACCTAGGGACAAGGTGCCATACTTTAAAGGACTTGAAACAAATAAATACTAGACAAGGTTTCATCAGCCAACAGAAGAAACGTACACGTGCCTAGCAAGTCAGTCTTCCACTCCAGAGCCGGGTGCATTGCACATGCGTGGGGGGCGGTACATGTTAGATGGCAAAATAGTACCCTCCTAATCAAAGCGCTGGGAATTCTGCCAGGCCTGGAAGGCAGGACTCTTTCCGCTTTCCTCCAAAGAAGGGAGGAGCGGAATCTGGAGAATTCACCGGAATTTGCAAAGAAAAAAAACTGACCCAACAGAAACCGATTTTTGTGGAGCCATTTACGTTGTCGAGTGACAGCTGGACAAGAGCGCAGGACTTGGAGGACAAAGTGCACGCAGGGGTGTGATCGTGCGCAAGGCACCGTGCAGAGAGGGGCCTTTAGTACAGGCAGGGAAACAGTCACGTGAGCTCAGAGGTGAATATGTCTGCCGAGAGATTCATTTGGGAGTTGACAGTTATTTCTAAGAGATCTGGGATGAAATCTTGCCCCCCCCTTCCCCCCCCCCAGTCAACGGAGCCCAGACTACACCCAGGGCAGTGTCTCCCCTTGCAATCAGTAATCTACGAAACGTGTTTGTGCTCGACGTTCCAGCACCGGCCCTGCTCCCCAGCCAGCACTGCTAGCTTGGCCGTGAGGAATCCTAGTTTCCCTGGACAAAAGCTTCCCTGCCCAACTCTTTGTTCCGTTTGTTATTCGACAGGCCAGAGGAAAGTTTTGCTTCCAGAGGGGCCTTTCCAGTGTCACGTAGGTCTCTTACCAAACTGGGCTTGAAACTCCACGGCGCGCTCTGGTTTGGGGCGGGTTCCCGTATACAGAAATGTCTTGACCCCAAACGGCTTTAGACGGCGTGCCACTGCCTGCCCTAGAAAGGAGAGGCCAGGTCTCTGTACACGGAGCTTGCGGGGCTACACCACGAACCCTGCAGCCCGACAGCCCAAAGCAAGGTCCTTGCTCCTGCGTCTCGCAAGCAGGCACAGCCACGGTGCACTCAGCTGCCACGAGACCTGCCCCGGCAGAAGAGATCGCTCCCAGGCCCCCAGCTAGAACTCTCCCTGAGGTTTGGGAGGCAACGTGCCCTCGTCCGCTCTGTCGGAACGCAACGCATTTTTGACTGGCAAGGCAGCCGCAGCAAGGGGAATGCTGGGACGTTACATCTGAAGCAAAGTTCAGGCGAGAAAATCCGAGGGAGGAAGAAAAATCCACTGGACTTTGTTTGGGGTATTTGTTTAACTGAGATGCAGCAAGAGAAAGTCCAGTTTGCTTTAGGAGCCTGATAAGGTGGAAACGGGTGAATGTTTGACAGCTGAGGGTCTAAGCCGGATGGCAGCTGCCCCCGGATTGGTAGAAGGGAGAGATGGATTCCTGCTTAGTCAGCTGCTGGCACCTGGGGGGAGCGACCCATGAGCCACGGGTCTGAATGTCCTCAGAACTCTCTGTCCTTTACAGCTCTCTCGATGTAGTTTGCAGCCGTGGTGAGTATGCCCAGCCTGCTCCCATGGGGCACGGACACGCAGAAGCGCCAGCGTAACCACCCACAAAGGCACTCGCGAACGCCCCACCTCACGGGCAAGAGCAGAAACGTCTGCTCAGCAAAAGCACGAGTGACCACAGGCACTGCAATTTACAGCCAGGAGTCCTCAGATTCTGCGACTAATGAGCTGGAGAATTTGAGTCATGGGTCGTTCCCTACTGGAAAAGGGGCTTGGATGCTCGCACACAAAAAACAGAGGCAAGGAGAGGAAAGTTTCTGGCTGTGATAAAACCGAGGCTACATCTCCACTTGCCAGAGGACTGATGCTCTGGCGATTGATCCTCTGGGGTTTGATTTAGTGGGTCTAGCTAAGACAGGCTAAATCAAATGCTGAGGGCACCCTGTTTGCACGGGCACACCTCACTGTCACAGGAAGCAAGGGAAGTGGAAGTTATCAAAGCTACAGACAGTACACAGTGAGACACAAACATCTCCTTAAGTGCTGACGTACATGATCTCAATCAAACATTCTGTCCTATGGGGCAGTTGTACAACCGTGCCATGAGCACAGGGTCTGAGTGACGACAGCCGGCCTGTACCAGTTCTGCTTTCCTGTGCTCAGGGGGAGAAGTGCTAGCTGTGAACGGTCTCCTCTTGGATTAAATCTCTCTCTCACATACCCACGTTGGCAGGTCAGTCAGCAGGGCTCCATCACGGGGGTAAATACTAGCACAGATGTGCACAATGCTGCCGCTTACCTATTCTCCCCAGCCCCACGATGCCAACGGTGCTACCGGACAGCCCGTACCCACACAGCCACAGAGGTTTCCACGTGGTCCAGCCACCACTGCACAAGGAAGTGAAACACGAACGGGTCAGCCAGATTCCACCTCCCAGGCTGGCGGCAGGCTGGCCAGGGCCCCAACGAATCCCGAGAGGAACAACGCCGTGGAAACCCACGGGCCACAAGCAGCCGGCTGGAAACGCCTTAGCGCCTGAGACGCAGAAACGACCAGGCAGGAGCGGCGCGAACGTGCCACGACAGGCTCCGGAACGTTCCGACTCTGAGTCGCCGTTAGCACTAATTAAAGCAGCCTCAAGACGGATCTGACGTGTGTCCCACTCCCCACAGCCCCCGGGCACGCGGAACAGACTCCGTGCAGTGAACCCTGGGCATGCCCCCAACGTGCGTCCAGCCGCTCTCTTGTGGCCAGCACAATGCACGGGGCGGTTTCACCTACTGTAAGGCCCCTCTATATGGCCAGACCACGGCTAGCTCAAGGGCTGCCCAAGCACAGTTATGCCTTAGATCGAGGGCTTATCCTGCCCCTTAACTGTTTTAACTGCATTTAGCTCACTGGGCTCAGGAGGCTGATCTCAGCTAGCCCAGTGCGAATCCACAGGCACTGCAGCCGTTTAACCCCCTCTCGTTACTGTGGCGGGCTCGGGTTCAGGACAGATCGATCGCACAGGGCCTGGAGAGACTCCGGAGCCACGCGGACCCGGCACAGCTCGGAATCCAGCCCTCCCTTGGAAATACTCACTTCTTCACTTCCTCCACCGCCTCTGGCAGCCGGCGACACGCGGCTAAGAGCAGAGCCACCGACAGCTCGGCCGTGGCGTCCGTCAGGATGTCTGGGATGTAGCCCACACGGATTCCGCTGCAATACACACACGGCATTTCGGCCCGCAGGTGTTAACACACAACACGCACGTTGGTTTATATTTGGCTGAAACCCCCGTTTAATTCTGCTGGGCATTTTCTCTGCCCCAGTTCTCACCCCACCAGCTTAGCCAAGCACCCCGCACACAATAATCAATCATCCCGCCTCACAACACTGCCAGGAGCTCGGGCAGGGCTCTTACTCCCATTGCACAGGCGGGGACACGAGCACAGGTCACGGTTTAAAAGTTACGTAGCTGCACAAAGACGCAGCCAGGTGCTAAACGGGATCCTTGAAAAATCTGGCCCTTACGCGCCGATCCTCAAGGTATTTAGGCTCCACTGAAATAAGTGGGAGTTAGGAACATTTATTCCTTTGAGGATCTGACCCTACGTGGCTTTCCCAGAGCTGACATTTCCCAAGCCCCAAAGGCTCCCCCCCCAGACGATCCCCTCCTCCCCCAGACGACCCATCCGTTGTTCCAACTAGTGTGCCTGCTTCTTTCGCCCACGCCAGTGGAGAAAGCAGGGGAAGGACGTGCATGCCACAGTCAAGGGTCAGCACGCAAAGGAGCAAATAAATACCGCTTTTTGATTTCATCGAGAGCCAGATGGTCAACCCCCACAGACAGCGTGCTGATTATTTTAAGGTTGGGCCCTGCAAAACAGGAAGACAGCCCTCACAACCTGCAGCTCAAGAGCAGAGAAACACGACAATGGGACAACGCAAGGGTCACAGTGTCTTACAGCGACTGGCTCGTTACTGTCTGAACCTTCGCACTCTACCTCAGTGACCAGAAACACCCGACAGGCTGGGACTGAAGCGAATTAGCAAAAACACCACACCCCTTTCTCTGGTAGCTGACTAGGGACGCTTGACAGGGCTTTGCACCTAGTCAAGTTCATTGCTTTTCCCCCTCACAGCTGGTCAGTCTTCTCCTTCGCTGAGCATCACAGCGGTCTGCCACGGTGACCACTATGCCCATATGGTCTGACTTCCTGTTTCCAGGCCAGGGAACAGCAGCGAGGCATTTCTGCCCCAAGCGCGTAACTTCTGGAGAACTAGGACAGATTTATTCTTTAACAAAACCCCTTGGGGAACTCTGCCCTACGCAGAGAGGTTTCTTCTAGCAGGGAAAACACAAGCACGCCAAGGGGCCCGGCCGCGAATGCTGGCTGCTGGTGTTCATGGCACGCGGCGGTTCTGGCCAGCGGGAAGCCAGACACGCTGCGTCATGTCTTACAACTGCGGGGGAGCCAGACGCGGAGGGTTCACATCAACGGCACCAAAGGGAGGCTCAGCCAAAGTGCTTCGCAGGGGCCGGAGGGCAGGAGCTGGGACTGAGCTCTGGCAGCCCAGACACAAAGGACGAGCCAGGGCCACACACGAGAGGGCTGCCGCCCATCCCCACCTGCTGCGTCGAGGACCTCTTTGTCGATCTACAACTGCGGGGGAGCCAGACGCGGAGGGTTCACATCAACGGCACCAAAGGGAGGCTCAGCCAAAGTGCTTCGCAGGGGCCGGAGGGCAGGAGCTGGGACTGAGCTCTGGCAGCCCAGACACAAAGGACGAGCCAGGGCCACACACGAGAGGGCTGCCGCCCATCCCCACCTGCTGCGTCGAGGACCTCTTTGTCGATCCGGTCCGACAGGAGACAGAGCAGCCCGTGCTTCCCAGCCACGCCCGCAC